TTATAGCAGCAGGAGCAGACCAAGAGAAGTACTTAAAGGGAAACTTCTAGAATTAAAATGCTTAAATTAGCAAAAAAGAAAAAGATTATTTGAAAGAAAGAAAGAAAGAAAGAAAGAAAGAAAGAAAGAAAGACAAGGAAAAATTTAGTGGTGTGGTGGTGTACCTGTAATCCCAGCACTAGGGAGGCTGAGGCAGCCGGATCACAGTAAATCTGAGGCTGGCCTGGGCTACCTAGTGAGTTCAGGATCAACACAGAAACAGAGGACTTTGGGGAAGGTGACAGGAGTGTTTGTAACCTGATCGTGACGTTTACACAAAACCTGTCCACGCAGCCACACACCCAAATGTGAGTTTTACTACGTGTTCATTTAAAATAAAGAAAAGAAAGATCATACCTAGGTAGGGGTCCTGATTTCACTGGGAAAATAAAATCTGCCAAAACATTGTGTTTCTTATTTAATTCTAGAGGAGAACACAATATTTTCAAGCTATGCAAATTGATTTTAAAAAAATGACGCCAAAGGAAAAAGCAAAACGCAAAGCACATTCTGATACGCAGGCAGCAGGCTGAGCGGCAGGACGCAGAGGCGGCCGAGCAGGGAGTGTCATCCTGCTCCACCACGAAGTGTGAACCAAGGCCTGTTTCAAGTTGTTAGCGAAATAGGGAGAACTGGAAGACAAAAACTAGACGGGGCTGCTTCCTGATGAGAAACGGTTAGTATGCAGAGCGTTAGTGTATCGCGTTCTGTCATCAATTTAACTTCACTTTGTATCAAGCTGGGTTTACTAAGCACTCTGACTCCATTTTTGTTTAATCTTTAAACAAGTACGTGTATGGGGTTCACAGCGATGGGGAATGTCTTCGCTTGCTCGACATCTGGGTTTTAAAAACAATTCCCCACTGAGCATGCATTACCTTACAAATTAATCTGAAAAGTAAATTTCAAGAATTTAAATCAAACTGGGGTGCGGTGGTATATGTTTGTAATCCTGGCACTCAGGAAGCTGAGGCAGGGGGATCAGTTCAAAGGTAGGCCTGGTCTTGAAAAACCAAACCAAACCAAACCAAACTCCTGAAGTCAATTGCTAACTAGACTATCTTTCACATAGACATTTTTTGGGGTTTGTTTTATTTTACAAATAAGAATGGGTTAATAACCTGAACACAGTGTCAATTGGTTGTGAATGAATGCTTTTAAAAAGGTTTCAAGTAGTGAGATTCTTTAGAAAGACCATATGTAAACAGTTTGACAGTTTTCCAAAAAGTTAAGCATAAAATTACAACATAACCCACCAATTCCAATAGGTATATAGCCCCTAAAATTAAAGACATAAGATTGGGGATTTAGCTCAGTGGCAGTGGTATATGTACCTGCCTGGCAAGTGTGAGGTCGTGAGTTTGACCCCCCAGTACCAAAAAAAAAAAAAAAAAAAAAAAGAAGAATAATATTGAAGACATATATCCAAATAAAAATTTGTACATGATGTTCAAAGCAGTACTATTCATATTTGCCAGAGATATCAACTCAAATGTCCATCAGCTGATAAATATCTTATATCCATAATGATAAGTATTCTACAATTCATGCAATGGAATATTATTTAGCCACAAAAGGACTAAGTACTAATACATATTTTAAGATGGCTGAACTTTGAAAAATATTATCCTAAGTATTGATGTGAGACATAAAATATCACATACTGTATGATTTCATTTATATGAAATATCTCAGACAACTAGTAAGAGGTAAGATTAGTGGTTGGTTATAGAGGGAAGAATGGGCATTAACCACATAATATAGAATCTATCAACTCTCCGAATTGTGTGTGAAACGTGGCTTAAACGGAGAGGTTTCCCCTAAGCTAGAACCTACTTTTTCTCAGGCTAGAAACCAGCTTGGGACAGAGATAGCCATCTCTTGTGTTACTAAATGACACCAGTTAGGCCTCCTGTCTTGAGCAACGCCTTCTCCCCACACCATCCTTAACAGACTTGGGGACGGCCAGCTCTCAAGGTTATGCTACCTTACTGGTTTTCAAATGCAGTTTCTGAAACGGGGATGTGCTGTATTTTTGTTTTCGTTGGTTTGGTCATTGCAGATTCAGGGATGGTGAAGAACCCAGTGCCTGGGGAACATCCCACAGCCTGACTGATACTTGCTTTCTCTGCTCCCCACATGGGCCCGGGTCCAGGGTCCTTAGGTACAGTGGAAGGGACGCACATTTTTCTCTTCTTTTTTATTTTCTATGCCTCATTTTCTCTAGCATTTAAAAAGTTCAGCCTGGCACGGTGGTGAATGCCGACACTCCCACCATTTGAGAGGCTGGAGCTGAATCTCTGCAAGTGTGAGACCACCTTGGGCTACATAGTGAGTTTGAGGCCAGCCTGAACTAAAAACCAAGACCCTGGACTTAAATAAATAAGTAAAAATCAAAAGCTTCACCTGTAGTATAAAGAAAAACATTGTGTAGAAGGGAGTCCATCTTTCAAGAGTTCCCAAATACATGCTTATCTTCCCTGCAATGTAACTTTTCTCTTAGAGCACAAATTTCCATTTTGAAACAGGCTCATTCCAATGATCTGGGCGTTTGAGGCAGGAGGACAGAAAAGTCAAGCCCAGCCTGGGCTACTTCGTGACTTAGTAATTCCTTGTCTCAAAGAAAGAAAAAAGGCTGGGGATGTAGCTCAGTGTGAAGGCCAAGGGTTTAATCCCCAATTAAAGTGAGGGTGTCGGTCACATGTAAAAATAATTCTGTTTAAATCCAGTGCATAGAAAAATTACCCAGAACAATACATGAATGCTCGCCGGGCCCCAAACATTTCCTTTGGTTATGAATTGGATACATTTCCATTTCCATCCAGCTCTGATCTGTTCCGGAGATAGGAAATACAGTGGTCTGGCCAGGCTGGAAGCTGGAAGGGGCCCGAGAGTCCCCCATCCAACGTGCCAAAGGCTGGACCCAAGAGTCACAGTTTGAGACAGGGCAGAACTGGTAAGATTCGGGGAGGAACATTTTACCCAGGGCCTCTGACTCTGGTTCTGGGCACTTCCTGTGCCTCCTACTAGGATTTTTCCTTGCTGCAGAAATGTGACAGGCTCAAGTACTCAAGTGTGAGCATATAGCTTAGTGGCATAAGAGCCTGCCTGGCACGCTCAAGGTCATGAGCTCAAGCCCCAGTACCAAACCAAACCAAACCAAGCAAATTAAAAAGAAAAAAAGTTAACCCTACGGACTCATAACCAGTAAGAGTCAAAGGGAAAGGAGAGAGGAAGGCTGTAGATTGCTAGACAGGATCTTTCATTTTCTCTCCTTACTATAAAACCAAGTCTGAGGCTTTACCTTTTTTTATCTTATGACTTACACCTGGAGAAAAACTCACCTTTTCAAATCCATCTTGAATTAGTCTCAAGCTGGTAAAATATGACCTAGATGTTTTGGGGACAGATGTCAAGTTACTCTAATCATTTCAGAAGCATGACATGCCTTTAAGATCCCTCTTGTGTACTTTTGAAAAGAAGTACAGAGCGGAAAAGAGGGAGGGAGAGATAAGAGAGAGGAGAGGAGAGAGAGAGAAACAAGATTGCCATGTATTTAAGAGAGAGGATTTGGGTTCAGGTAGGACAGGTTGCAAACTGGTGCATGTTGTGCAATCTCTCTGAAACATGGAGGATGACGTTAGGAGGCAGATTGAACAGGACAGCCCGCGTTTAGCGTGCAGCACCGTGCCGGGCACGTGGAACAGGTTCAGCGGATGTCAGTGATTATTAGTGCAGAGGAGAAGGAAGCAAAAGTGTTTAACCATCTGCTTTGACACTGGGGGATCGTCCTCGTGAGTGGAGCCTGCCAGAGCTGAGGCTGAGGACTTGGGCAGGAGCAGGGTGGGGGCTCCGCTTGCAGTGCAGAACCGGAGTTTTGAACAGGAGTTAACTAGGCATCCAGGGAGGCTCCCAAGGCCTCAGGTCAAAGAGCAGAGCGGCCTTGGGCTGCTAATCCTCTGCCGCCATAGAGGAAAACCCGGGGCGGGTGGCAGACAGAGTGGGAGGAGGCTTTTGGTTGTTGATTTGAATCTGAAACCACATAAATGCATGAAGCCTATTCCAAAAATCAAATTATATTTTCAAGAAGTCTTTTACCGACTGTGTGTGGCGGGGCACATCTGTAATCCCATCGCTCCGGGAAGCTGACAGGCTTCACAAATCCCTGCCCAGCCTGGGCAATTCAGGGACGAGATGGTATCTCAGAATAAAAATAAAATTTTATTAAAAAGGGCTAAGTGAAGGGAAGGTACCAGGAATGGAAAGCTCCAGATCTAAGGATGATAATAAACACCCACATTTTTGTACAGCCCTAGGAAGGTGGCAGCCCGGTGGGGTGGGCTTTGCTTCAGGACTGGGACCCTATCAACCTGACTTGGTTTCAAAGATGCAAAGTAATATTTTACGGTCAGCCATCCTCCCTTTGACCCTTTTTCTAAATGTTCAGAACAAGCGTGCACAGAAGTGCATTCCTCGTGCTATGGATTGCCTCCCAGAGTTGAGAGTTGATTTTATTAGCTCAATGAGGTCTCTATATTATCTGTGCATTTATCAGTACGTCCTAGGCTTTTAGGCCCTAGATAATTCTTGCTCAAATCCATTGAGCACCTCATTTTCTGGAGTCCTGGGGAAGTGGGTGGGGAGGCACATGACTCCATTCACAAATAATCAAGAGCTGGCCTACCTACCTGCTCTAAGGCCTATAAATATTAACCAATTGAAACATCACAAATAACACTATCATCTGGTAGGTACCACCAATCCATTTTACAGGCAAAGAAACTGAACCAGGCCAAGTTAAGCAGCCTAAGGTCAGAGGCTGTGGCTAATGGGTTGACTTACCTTACCTCTTTGTTGGCAATGAACCCCGGGGGCTATACGTGTAGGGAAGGGGGTGCTTTGAAGGTGACTGAGTGTCCCAGGCTGTGTAGCAACTGTAGTTGGGGAACCAAATCTCAAATCCTTCTCTGCAGCTTCCGGTTTGGCCGCCCTAACGACCAGGATGTAAATTTCTGCATTGGGCCTGGACAATTGACTTCCTCCCCAGCCTCAGATTCCTTATCTGCTCAGGGTCCTTATCTGCCCCAGGGAGGAGCTAGATTAAAAGCCCTCTCCTCGAGTTAGGCATTAGCGCGTGTGGGTGTGTGCTGGGGGAGGGAAGGGGGTGGCTGCGTTCCCCTGGTCCCTGGAGGAAACAAGGCTTTGAAGGGCCTGGCTAAGCCAACTCCCTTTCAGGAGGTCAGGCCCTTGGGCAGAGGTGGCGCTCAAACTCGGTCCTTCTTCCTCGGTTTGGAAAAGGGCAACTCTGGCCACCGCCCCGCTGCCAGGAGTTGGAGGGTGGGTCTTTCTCCCCAAGGGAGTTAGAGATGAGGGTGTGCGCGCGGAAAGCCTTCTGGGAGTGACAGCTGAGTCACACCCCTAAGGTCCAGCAGGAGTTCGTGAGAGGTGGCCGGGGAAGGGTGTGGAGCCCGAATTCTTCCAACAAAGAAAGCTTGCAGCGCACGAGGGGGAGCGGTGCAGAGGTCCGCAAAGGCGAATCCACGCAGGGCAGCGGACACACTTTATTCTAAGAGCACGGAGAGGGCTTGGGGGATTAAAGGTGAGCAATTAGGTGGCAGAAAGACCCTCTGGAGGCTGCTTCAGAAGATGACCGAGGATTTGCAGCTTCCTTTGATATGGGGCAGGGCTCTGGCAAGGGCTGGGCGCCGGTCAGAGCCTCACTGAGCGAAGTAGTGCGGCACACCCCTCCCCCCCTTTCGGGAGGCTCTCTGGTCCAGGCGCCCCAGAATTGGCAGGGGTAGGCGGGAGGGCTTCCCCCTGGAGAAGATGGAGGGCCAGTACCCCTCAAAACACAGAAACCCCTCCTTGGCCGCTGAGGGCTGCAGCCTCCTCCGCCCATGACCTCATGCTCTAAGCTCCTGTATCGCCTTCCCCCGCCCGGTCCACACCCGGAGACCGAGTGGGGGCAGGGTGAGGTGGGGGACAGTGGTGGCGATCTGGAGCGCCGGCGCAGCTTCTTATCCTGCGCGAGATTTGGGGGTGAGGGGCGCAACGATCTCGCACCCCGAAAACAGAATGGTGTAACTTTCTCTCTTGCAAAAAAAAAAAAAAAAAATACTCGCTGCCTTGCAGGCGATCGACTCCTCCAACCGGCGCGAGCCATCGGTTCAGCTCAACTCTTGGGCTCCCTTTGGAAACGCCAGGGTCGCGGGCTGGGTTCCAGGCTCCCAGCCCGGGCAGGACCTGGGCACTGTCCCATTCCCCGAGCCACCAGGTTCGAACCCCCTCCGCCTGCCTGGCAGCGCGCGCCCTGCCCCCCGGCTCGCAGCTGCTCTCCGTTTGGGTGCAGCGGTTTCCCCCGCAGAGCAGGAGGAGGAGACAGCGCGAGCGAGCGCTCCGGCTCGGGTTTCCGCACCAATGCCGAGCAGCCCCGGGCGGCCCCCGGCTGCTGTCCCTCCTCCCCGCACCACGTCCCACAGTCATGGCGCGCGGGCGAGCGAGCGGGCGGGCGGGCGGCGAGGAGGGGCGGGTGCGCGGCCGCACCCGCGCCCCCTCCCCGGGTCCCTCTCCGCCGCCGGCCGGGCCCCCTCTCCTAGGCAACCTCCCTCCCCGGCCCGCGCGCTGCGGAGACGCAGCCCCCTCCCCGGAGCTCCGCGGACCCTCCCCGCCCCCACGGGGCGGAGGGATGGAGCGCGCGCTGCGAGAACCCCGGCCCTTCCCGGAGCCCCAGGCCCGCCCAGCCCCGCCGAGGCCGGGTGCGGTGGGGGCAGGCGTAGCCCGTCCTCGCTCAGCTCGCCTGGCCCTTGGCATCTTTGCAAAAGCTTCCCCCCCCCCCAAAAAAAAAATAAATAAGCACCCCCCCACCTCAAGTCTTTAGATTGGAACGCGCGCTACAGTAACCGGGGCGGCTACGCAGGAAGCAATCGTGCAAGGGTCCGGGTGTAAGGCGGCAGCTTCCCGGCCACGCTGCCTTCTCCCAGGCCTCGATTTCCCGGCCTCGCCGGAGAGTCCGCTGCAGCCCAGGACTGACAGGTCCCGCGCGGGGCAGTCACTGGGGCCTCGTCCCATCCTGGTCCAGGGGCTCGCCAGCCTACAAAAGGTGCAACCTCTCGCGCACGCAGAGCGCACACATGCCCAGCCGGGAAGGCTGCGAACAATGCGCCGGGCGGCCCGCGCCCGCCCGAGCGCGGCGCGCCCGGGGCCAGGGGCCAGGGGACGCGGGCGGGGGCTGCGCGATGGACCCGTGGGCCGCGCGCGACGCTGGACACCTTACTTCCTGCTTCCCCGCCCGCGGCCAGCCCGGCTTTGCGGAGGGATATCTCTCCCCTCCTCTGTCCCTCTCCTCCCTTCCCCCTCCTCCCCCCTTTTTTTGCTCTTGCTCCCCCACCTCACCCCGCCTTTCTCCTTTTGCAAGAAAATAATTTGACAGTCGATTTGCTGACAGGGGAGGAATTTGCATCCTGGATTTAAAAAAAAAAGACCGAGAGGAGCTTGGGAACGGTTGCTAGGGGTGGGTAATGGGTGAAAAAGGAGGGGGTGCCGAGGATCGGCCAAGGGAGGGGGCGAGGGTGGGGAGCCAGGCAAAAGGTAAGGCCAGGTTGCAGCGGCTCGGCCCCGAGTGGGCTGCGGCCGGGGGAGGGGCGAGAGATGCATATGTATTTCGGGCTCCCCTGCACACCCCCTTCCCTCCCAGCGATGGCTGAGGCGGTGCATGCAGACGGGGAGTAAGTTTCCTGAAGGGGCGGGCGGCTGCACGCGCGCAGCCCGGCGCTGCGAATTTGCACCGGGGAGGGAGAGTGGTGGATGCGGAGAGTTTGGAGTTGCTGGCGGCGGAGGGCAGGAGAGGAGCCGGGCCGGGAACGGGGGGCTGGCGGGCGCTATAGCTGGGAGTAAGTTTCCAGGATCGGGAGAGCCTGCACTCTAGCTCGTAAGTTTCTGGAGGGGGAGGGCGTGTGGGGAGCAACAGAGGGAGGGGTGCATGCATATAGAAGGGGGAAGGGGGAGTAGATTTCCTGCGGGGAGGCTGAATGCATATGGAGAGATTTCCTGGAGGGAGGGTGGAGGCGTAGACGGGCCGAGTAAGTTTCTTGCAGGGGTGGTGGCGGAGGTGGTGGGTGGGTGCTTTGCAAACCCTGCGTTTCACGCTGGGAAAGGGGGAGCACGCTGTTGGGGGTGGGGTGGGGTGCGAGGGGCCAGGTTCCCTGCTGGGGAGAGGGGCTTGCATCTGGGGAGTATGTTTCCTGGCGGAGCGATATTTGTTTACAGGCTGAGGGCTGTACTGGGAGTGAGTAGCTCTGCGAGAAGGCGGCTGACATAAATTAATATTGAAATTACTCCATCAGCGCCACCGGCCCCCCAGCGCACCCCCCAAGCGGAGACTGGGCTTCCTGTCGTTTTGCCATGCACTTGTTGCAGAAACAGCCAAGGTAGGCAGGAAGCTTATTACGTTTCATTTAAAAAAAATATTAGTTGAGGGGATGCTCTGGGAGAAGACAGGGTGGGTAGGGTGGGGAGGGAAGAGTCGGGGGACCGGGCAGGACAAGTCTCCCGCCGCCCCTTTACTTTCCGGGTGTGAGCAAGGCCTTCCCCCTTGCTTCCCTTCTTCGCGGTTCCCTCTTGGGGCTGCAGAGCATCCCGGCAAAGGGGGAGGGGGAGGTGGGCGCTGTAACTGGCACCTCGCCTGCAAGGGTGCCGAGGGTGGGCTTGCCGTGGAAGACTGGGATGTTATAAAACCTTCATTCTTCCAGCTAAGAAACCGCAGGACCCTGGGGATGTGCCTTTTGGGGTTTTTGACATGATGCATATGTTCATGTGTATGTGCCCGCAGGCGCTGTGGGGGCTGGGCGCTCCCCAGAAGTTAGTGTGGCCACCCCGGGAGAATGTGGAAGGGGACAGACTTTCCCCTCCGCTTCCCAACTTCACTATAGGAGACTGGGAAGTTACTGCTGGTGGTCTGAAGAAATAGATTTTGCAAACAAAACAAAACCACCCATTCACTGGGGAGGCGTAGGGCACCTGGCAGGCAGCCTCTGGCCAGCGCTGGGCTGAGCATGTGCGCCTGCCACCCTTGGGTTCAAAAAACCCTCTGGTTCCTCTGTGTGCCTTCCACCGGCCTGTTGGAGTCGGCTTCGTGGAAACTCTGCCCCGGATGAGTCGCTGCTTGGCAAGGGAGGACACTGAAGCCCCGCTCACTGTGCACGGCCTGGGCTGTCTTGGGGGAGTGACCCAGGTTTAGGAATGACGGGCTGCTGGCTTGGTCCATGCAGGCCCTGGGGGTGAGCTTTACGACAGGGGTTTTAAGTTGTTCCACTTGGTGCCAACCTTGTGCATCTTCAGCCTTTCAAGAAAGAGGTTTGGCAAGGGAACGTGTGGTTTTGCTGCCCACTGGAAGGGTGTCTAAGAAGTGCGCTTAGCACTTAACCAGTTAACCAGCAGTCCTTGCCTCGCCTGGCCTCTGATTTCTTGGCCTTCGGCCTACTGGTTTCTGCAGAAGGGTTGTAGGTCTTGGCTGTCCGGGTGCCTTGATGGTGCTGGGAGTTTAACTTTACCAGGATAATTTTAGCACCAGGAGATGCAGCTCGGAGTTGTTCAGTAGGGTTAGGGAGTGGGGTGAACTAGAGTTGGTTAAGCTTTCCCCAAATCTGTAAGGGGGAAAAATGAACTTTAAAAAAAAAAGAGTCATGATCCCGATGGACAGTGCTTTTTCTTCTTTCTTTTTTCTTTTTCTTTCTCCTGTCTCAAATTTCTAGATTGAGGGGTGGAATTTGGCAGTTTGAGAGTTGAGTTAGCTGGGAATTAAATATTATTGTTACTTATCAAATGTTCCTACGTAGGCATCAGTTAAACAAATTAGCTATTATTTTTAACCAGTGAAAATCAGAGTCTACTTGGTATAATATGCTGGGAGGACAAATAAAAGCCTAAGGTGTGTTTATCTTAGGGTGGAATTATTTACATGCCTAGCTTCGGAGCCAAGAGCAAGTCATTCAGGGTTTTTCCTTATATTTATGAGATTTATTTTATTGTCTTGCTTTGGTCATTAATCAAGTCACAGTAACTCCCCTCACCTTCTACCAAGAATGTTCTCGTGGCAATAAAGGGTTTGAAGGCCCATGAATCATAATTCACTCTTTTTAAAATATTGTGATTGTCAGGATTTGATTTATAGGAATTGATACGGGGTGACACACCTCTTGGGGCCCCACCCTTTTAGGCATGTCCGTTTTTGCCAGCGGATCGTGTAGATGCCAGCTCCATGTCTCAGAAAGAGAGCTTCCCCTAAGCTTTATGAGCATTGCAAAGATTAATTCTGCAGTTCCACAGTGAACATGGGTCTTTTCACAGCTTGGTGAGCAGGCTTCCACATAGCAGGCGTGTGTTAACATCACACGGCGTCGATGCGAACTCGCTGTGAAAACAGTTGTTCTGTGAACTGTGTGGAAAGTACGCAGTTTTGCCTCCTTTTACTCGTTCGGGCTTGTGGTTTTTCGTGGAGTTAGGAGCTTAAGCCGTAGAGTGGACAGATTCATTGCTGCTTATATAATAAAATGTTCGGACCCAAAAACAAAGCTGATTTTACCATTTTCTTTCCCTCCTCCTTTGATGGGTGGGTTGGTCTTAGTAACTGAAAGCACTGGTTTTGGGGAAAGTATAAGGATTCTCTGCAAAGCTGATTCCTAAGAAGTGTTAAAGTGTCTTGTATTCAGTAGCTGCCTCAAGTCTACAGTATTTGTGAGGTGACAAAATACTTGTAAGGTCGTTGATGCTCAAGGCAGGGGGAAAGTCATGAGAACGAAAAATGGGGAAGGTATCAATGTCTAGCCATTTTGGGGCTTCACATTTTTTTTAACCTTAAAAATGCATGGTTGGATGTGTGAGTTCCCTTCCCTCTGAAATTGTGTGTCTTGTGGAACGAGGATCCTTGAGATCTTGATGGTGTCTTCCTGAGCCAACGGTCCATTGCTTCATGGACTTGGGTGGGTTGATCAACTTCTGTTTTTGGCTTTTCTTGGAGAAAGTAGCTTTGTACCTCTGCATTCCAAAAGGAGCTCTTAAGGGCTGGTTGTCAAACACCAAGAATTACTGGTGAAAGTGCCACCATTTTGGGGAAAAAAAATTCCTAGCTATGCTGGCGGATGTATGTGTGTAGAGGGCAGTAATCCCAGGCACCAGAAATCATTCCAGTTCATCTGGGAAGTTTCCTCTCTACCCAGCTGGCCCACTGGCCTAGTACTTGGTCAAGTCTCAGGTTGATTGAGCTGTTACTAGGCTGGGGATTTAGCTCAGTGGCATAGGTGCCTGCCTCAAAACTGTGCGGTCCTGAGTTCGATCCCTGGTACCGATCAAAAACAAAAATTGACCTATTACTTTCAGGCACAGGTAGCTTTGGGGAAGTAAGGTGGGGGGACCTGAAGACCCAGTGTGGCTTGCCTGCTTTCTGCAGAGAATTCATCTGTGCGTAATTTGAGTTTGGTGGAGTGGTTGTGATGGGGTTCAATAAAGACATTGCATTTCTCCCTGTCAGGATACTGTCTATTTTACCATGGGCATTTTTGGAGAAGGCTCTTGATGTTTCTATTGACTTTGGACATTGATCATACAGGAAGTAAGGGCCCAGACTGGTGGCTCAGGCCCCAGGCGGTTTGTCTCAATTCTTCTGCTCCAAGGGCAGTTGAATTCTGCTCATTTGATTTCTGACTTCACAAAACCACATGGCTGGGAGGGGATTTGAACCTGCTGGGATGTTGTGGATTAAAGATATAGTAGTTTTAGATTTGCAGATTGGAGGGGGACCTGGGAATTAAAGGAGGGCTTACAACGTGGTTGACTTTTTTTATGGACAGGAGATAGGAACAGCTGGGTTGTGGTTATTGGTTTGCTTTTCTACAAGTCTGCAGTGGCATCTCTAATACATAGGATGGTCTGCCTAATACGAGCTATCCCATGACTCTCTTAGTAAATGTTTTCTTCCCGGTTAAAGAATATACCCAACAAAAAGCCTCTGATAGCTTCTAGAATTTTAAGTGCTCAGAACATCTGCTAATTGACAGGCGTAGTGGTGCATGCCTGTAATCCCAGCACTAAGGAGGCTGAGGCAGGAGGATTGCCATGAGTTCAAGGCCAGCCCGTAGTGAGTTCAAGTGGAGGCTAAACTACAAATCAAAACCCTGCCTTAAAAAAATAGCTGCTCATAGTAATTTGGCTTTACTTAGGAAGTGAGTAATTTTTGGATTTTTTTTTTCTCATGGAAGACAATAAGCTGGGAGTGGGTTGGGATATGCTTAGCTGTTAGGCAGTTGGTTTAGCAACAATAAGAAAAAAAAATTTTTTTATAGCAGAGGGAGAGAAAAAGAACCCAAAGTGACAGTGCTAATTGTGGGGTCGCAGAACGAAGTAACAGATATTTTCACGCTGTAAGAAGCTCCGGTTTAATTATAAAAAGGAAATAAAAGAATCTGGTTTATGCATTCATACATTGGCAGCTGCTTTTTGAGCACCCCCTGTTTGCCAGTTGTCACGTTAAGGGCCGGGAATCTGAGACTTACGAGCTCGTGCCCACTACCTCTGCCCTGAGGCTCCATCCGCACAGCTCAGCAGCCAGGCATCCGCGGAGTAGGGTGCATTGCGAAGTGTGGCCAATGCTTCCAGGAGGCCACAAGGAGTGATTCCTAGGAGTGGGCTGCGAGAAGGCAGGGCACACCAGAGGGGAGAGGCCGGAGCAGCACAGCTCTGACTTTGAGGGAGCTAAACACGGACCGGGCATGCAGGTAGCGGTGCTTCGAGCCTCCGAAAGGCTGGGTTTCGCATGCAGCATAGCGGGAAGCCGCTGACAGTTCGCAGGGCGAAGCACCAGGCTCTAACTCATGTGAAGGAGTGCGTATTGGTGGAGGAGAGTGGAGGGGGCAGGTGTGGAGCTGGGGGACACAGGAAAGAGGTCACGAGAGCAGAGGAAGGAGGGGCAGGTGGGGAGAATGGTCAGGCTCAGGATGGGTTGGCTGGAGCGCAAGGGCAAGGGTTGTAGGCTGACCACAGCGTGTCTGGAGTGAGCAGTCTTGGGTAGAGAGTGACACTCTTTGTTGAGAGGGAGGAAGATTGCAGCGAGGGGCACAATCAAGCTATTTCTTGTTTGGGCACAACTAAACTTGAGATGGCTACAGACGTGAAATGGAGCTGTCAAGTCCACAGTTTGATGCAGCATCTGGTTCCAAAGAAGTGGGGCAACCGGGCAAGAGATAAAAATACAGGCACTGGCCGAGCATAGTGGTATATGCTTGTAATTGCAGCATTTTGGGAGGCTGAGGCAGGAGGATCACAAGTTCAAGCCCAACCTGGGCAACTGAGACAGGTCCTGTCTCCAAATAAAAATGAATAAATTAAGAAGCCTGAGGATATAGCTCAATAGGAAGAGCCTTGGTTCAATCTCTAG